TTTTTTTTTTTTTTCCCCTTTTGAGAGTAAAAGAAAAAAAATAGTGTGTTACGGCTCGTACAAAACGTCAGGGTGAACCTGCTTTGTAGACAGCACAATACTAGGATCCTAAACTGAGGAGCGGGAAGGCTCGCCGTCGAAGGCGATACTATAACCCATATCCCCACGTCATGATACTCCCACGTGACTCCCCGCATTATGAAATCTAGCTTAGGTACCTCAAGTCTTGAACCGATAATCTTTCTCAAATAAGTTAATATGGCTCTGAAAACAGCACGGGTTCTTTTATGACGGACACTGAGAGTAAATATCAATATTACGGCGGAATGTAATCACCAGCTACGTCCTCATCGGTACCGGACTTAGGCTTGTCGTTACCCTTCACTGCCAATAGTAGCAAAAATCCTTGACAATGGGCCTCCTGCGTTGAGAAATCAAATAAAATAGTCAGAGCCCATATCTAAGCATACTTTCTGCGCATGAAATCGAGGCTTGTGAAGACTTTCCACGGGTACATAGAGCACTGCCCTGGTACTTAGGTGAGGTATCGGTGAAACAACATTACAGTGCCAAGATAACGAAATACCCTGATTTACAGCCACATACAATACTAGCTGTATACTTGGCAGAGGCACAGCCACTGTGGCACAGCAAATCTAATAATAGACTGACGGGGTTAAGGGGGAAGACGCAGAAATGGTTCGCTAACCTTTCCCATGGCTAGCCAGTCATCTTGGCACTGCGACCCGCTCATCCTTTTATACTGTACGGAGTACATAAGTTACTCTTCGTGACATTCATTCACAGCTGTAAGCCATGGCCACGATCTCCATCCCAGCTAGTTTTTATTTCAAGAATGGTGCTGACCCCAACAATACCTGGGCACAAATCAACATCTGTACCACTCACCTCGAGAACACAGTCCTCACGGCACCAACGGTTGATGCCCGCGAGACTGCGATAGGCGTGCTCTGGTCATGGCAATCTACGATATCGCTCTGTGAGACCTTTCAATTAAGGCACTATAGCATCCCCGTGCAGGGCGGCGCCATCGAGGAGCTGGATTACTACTTTCTGGGCAAGGAGGGCGGCTGGAGGCCGGAATGGAATAACGGATTGCAAGGGCAACTTCGAATTGCCTCCAGCATGCTTTCCCACACATCCGCTCTATTGTCCGCTGGATGGCCACAGGATAAGATGCTCGAGCTACGAGAGGCGGTCCGTCAGTGGCAGTTGCAGCTTGAATCTATTAATGGCAAGCGGCTATCCTACCACAAGGCTGTCAAGGAGGCGGATATGGCCAGACGTGAAGGGTCCCGTCTACTCAATGAAAACCCAGATACCCCATTGGAAGCCTACGAAGAGAATGCTAAGGCCCATGCCCCGAAAGACGATTACGGCGCAGTGAGTGGTCTCGGCAGAGTCGAGGAAGACTTACAGAATTTGTTTTCTTGGAACAGTAAAATAGTCTGTTGTCTGTGGGAGCTGGCGGAGACCAGATTAACTCCCGATATCTTAGCTGCAAAGTCTGGTGGCTCAGCTTCCTGCCTATTTACGATGAATCAAACCCGCAGACAAGTTACTTGTCGTCGTCTACCACTCTCGAACAGAGATCTTCGGAAGCCGAACTCGCGAAAGATGTAGTTCCTTTTCAACGTGAGCGGTTACGCGATGCTCAACCACGTGTTGCTAACCGGTGAGGGGCTTGGCAGACCACAACACCCTGAACACGAATCCACGTGATCTGCACGGGACTTTATTCGCTCCAACGACCCCCTTATATAACGCGATGCTGTCCTCTCCCTCTCCCTTACATCCCAATTTCCTGGAAAGTGATCCAAAACGAATAATGGCTCTTTCGTTGAGCGAGTTCCAAAACCGTTTCCCAATTCCTGTCCAAGTGATGGTCGAATGGGATCCGGTCAAGTTTTTGAGGGAAAATTATGAAGAGCCATTTCCACCCTTGGATGCGATCTTCACATACACCGGCGACGATTCCGATGCGCAGATTACAACGTTCGGGGATTACGTGACGGAGACTTGGCCAGCCAGGCCAGCCTTTCTTGCCGAATTGCAATCCGCCATTTCTCGAGAGCTTTCTTCCACAGTCAATGAAGGGAAGACCAGAGAGGTTAACGGTACGTGGTAATCCGCTCTTTCGGACTCTCTTCGATCACTCACTGGTTATCGAACAGAGTATCCACTGCAAGGTTGCAGCATCCAACTGGCCAATTCCCACGTAGTGGTCAGAACACGTTGTGACGAGCCTAAACATGCGCACGACCTTGCCCTTCAACTAGCCTGGGCTTCTGGAGCGTGCCGAACATCATCGAACCAAAACGCCGAGTTCATCAAACCGAGCTACAGTACCGCAGTGGAGAGCGAGGAGCTCCATATCCACATCAACTTCACGGTCCAGAAAGACTCATCCCCACGCTGGAACCACTTACTTGGGCCTTACGTCGTCGTCGGCGGCTTCCCCATACGTTCACGGCCACAGAATCAATCAGGTTTGGAGGTGCCGTTGGCCTTCATCGTCCAGTTTCTTGGGCTCAACCGTATCACCACATTCAACAATTGGGCGGTTCTGCACGACTGGGGCCACATGCTGGTAGCAAAATCCAGAGGGATGGACTACGTTTCGTGGGTATATCTTTTCACCAGAGACGAGGGGCGCATTTCCTTTTTTGCCCCAGATTTATTAAAACCTAAGCCACCCCACATGAGCCACAAAGATATAGACATGGAGAAATACCGACACTTTATCGAGTATCTTCAGCTCGCACCGTCGGACGAATCGTGAATGACAACGTACACCCTACCAGAATCGAGGGACATTTTGATGGTATTGGATAGGCTATACAGGGGAACCCCAACAGGATTTATGGTCGTTCCTAGATGTATTTGTGGAGACGCAGAAGAGAACCTTCCGCATCGTTGAATTGGATGCTCAATTGTGAGATGCAACTTAGTTATTTCGGAACTTCATTTGATCTCACGTTAAGATACCCTCCATCCAGATACCCGTACGCTGGCAACTCTGCGTGAGCACTCTGGATGCCTTTTGAAATCGACATTATCATTGCGGTCCGGGGTCCGCTGCCCTCCCCCTGGATTGAGATTGCTACCTGATAGACATGCAATATGCTCTCATTGAAAGGCCATTCATGCTCACCCAAGCACTGACTAACCCAACATCCACGCCGAGCACTCTCGACGCAAGCACCTAAGAATTACACGAGCCGTGCATTCCAGTCCATACAAGAAATTTCGGTGGTGTTTGTCTTTGCTGTTGAACCGTGAAGTCTTCCGCGTTAGTCTGTTCCATCCAGGGTATAAGCCTTCCGGTGGACCAAATGTCTATCCTCCTCTTCTCGTGCCGCCTCTTCTCCTGCTGTGTATACCGTAGGTTCTTGCATCTGCTGTTGCTTGCTCGTCCCTGGACGCTCATGTGCCATGGCTTCTTACTCGCGGCCGCCGGGGGTATGCCCAATGCAGCTTTTTCCGGGGCGAGGACCCTGGCAATATTCGGAGGATAGTATCGTCATCAAGGCAATCGAATCCCGAACCGGAGCCGATATGAATTCGCAGGGCCCTTCGGTTTTGTCGTTGAACATGCAATCGTAGCAGCGTTTTGGTTCCGCATATGGATCGTGAGGTTGATCAGCAGGATGGGAGCAGACGCGTCGGCCGCAGGCGTACTCGACGCAGTCAAGGACGGCCATGCTGGAAGGGGGGGGAGCGAGGGCCTTTTTGTGTTAAGATCTGCAACTCTTTATCGTCGAGGGGTTTGCCTATTTCACGTTTCATCAGGGCCAGTTTTCGGAGCATATTTTCATAGGTATCTAGTGGCAAGAGTGCGATCGAATCCCAAGCGGGAGTCGAAGTGGATTCGCAGGGCTCTTGAGTTTTGTCGCTGAACATGCAATCGGAGCAGCGTTTGGGTTCTGCATAAGGATCGTGAGGCTGATCATCAGGATGGGAACAGACGCGCCGGCCGCAGGCGTATTCGACGCAGCCAAAGACGGGTCATTATGAGGCGGTAGCGGGAACGCACTCCTTGTCCGTAGGAGAGTAAGAATGGGAGGGTGACTTTGGTTGGAGTTTGAAGTTGGAGAGAATAACAAAGGGCGCGATTGTTATATAAGGACGCAGGCGGCTTTGCCAAGCACTCTACCATAAGATTTACAGGACTCCAATTTGAAAACACAGGGCTCTGAGCGCACTCAGCCTTCCAGCTACATCCATTGAAGGGCCAATGCATCATCAATGCCATTCAGCTGAACGCAAACGGTCTAGTGCACAGAACTACTTTATTGTATAAGCCGCTTTGCTCCTCCGCCCTCTGCGCAGCCTTGGGCCCCAATATCAAGCTCAAGAGATCCCCATCGCACTCCAATACGGAGGCGGCAACGCCTATCGAAAGACAACCTTTCTCCTAGCCTTTTCCTCCCTACCTTTTGCCAGGATAGCTTACCGGTGCTACGGAGTTTGGGTCACGTCCAAAATGAGAAAAGCAGACTGTGCAGTTTGAAATTGTACTGCGACGAGTTGATATGCGAAGTTAACTCAAGTTGCTATGAGAAATGCAGATGAGCGAAACAGACCAATTCACAAGGAACACAGAAATATAGAAACGGTCTTAGGCCATCACCGCCACAACGGTAACGAGCATTCAAAATTCCACCCAGGCTTGATGTCGCCGTGCGCCCGTGGAGGGCCACTCAGTCCAGCTCGTTTAGGGCGATTCCAACCTCTTGTCTGCAAACTCTGGTGCTGAGTTTTCTGCCTATTCATGGTTAGCAGTGACAGATCCATCGCCAAAGACGATTCACCTTGCGTCCACTGCCTCCCTCGCTCGGAAGCTGTTCACGAAACCAGACGAACAAGTTGTTGTTTTGTGGCTGAGAACTGTTGCGCGACACTCAGTAGCAAATTGGACAATGAGGGCCGAATGGACTACAGTATCAGAACCGCAAAACAGAACAATAACTTCTCAGTCCTCTGGAATCAATCCCCGCCCCGTGTTGTTTCGGGAGCCATCTGAAAAAGGCTCAAGGGGTGGTTTTCTGACCCGGCCGAGATTCCTGCGCTGCACTCTTGTTTCAGGCTGCCAAAATGTCCTCGTCAATGTATCATTCCCCCCGTTACCGGTAACACTTGGTTTTGCGGCCGCCAATCATGGAATCAAGCAGGGGGCTTCAAAGCCACGCAGGAACCAGGCTTTGTGCCTAGTCCCCAACACAATGTGTCAAGCACTGCCGCTTTCACAACAAGGTTACACTCGGCCCTTCTAAAGGTAGATGGCGCATGCTTTTGATTTCCGCAGCCGACCAGGGTGATTTTCGTTAGTTCCGAGAAAGCGGGCGTTGGTCGACTCACTTCACTGAATACTGTCGTGCAATGAACGCCTATCAAACCATTCTGCTTTCCCGCGTTGCGTAGGCTGTCGTTTGTGAAGCGAAGCTGGAAGCTACTCGATCTCGCAATTTTGAGGGTCGAACACCCCACTTGTCCGAGCCGGAGAGACGGAGAGCGAACGCAAATCTCTTAACAAGCTGCCCGCTCTCCATACAGTTGATTTTCGTTAGTGAAGCAAAAAGCGGATGGACCCGTCCAAGGGAGAAACCTAAAAGACAGTCGATCTGGCAATTGCCAGGGACATCGAAACTCTCCTTGTCCGATCCGGATAAACGGGGAACCAACGAAAACTCCCCTGGTCAACTGTGCTACCCACAGCGAAAGCGGTGAGACTTCGCAAGTGCTGCCTAACGCTCACTGAAAACTTATAAATTCAGGTCCGAAGCTACCTCCAGAAAATCCAGACGCGGCGTCTCACTTACTATACAAGGTAGCGGTTGGACAACTGTGCAGGATCATGAAGGCCTAAGTTTTGCATAATCTGACTTGGATTTGACGTTATGCAGTATCTATCATCTCACTGATCTACCGCCTGAGGCTGCGAATGACAACAAACACCTGCACTTGAATGTCATTGAAGCTGCGGTTTCAAAGTGCAAGGCCCCCGTTTTCGATGACGGTATCTGTGTATTCGACGATACGAGTGCGGATCTTGTGCTCGTCCTTCAATTCGCATGCTACGGCAAGATCAAATGCTGGCCGCCAAACACCCCACAAGCTGTGAAGGAAACACTACAAGACCTCGGAGTAAAGGCTCCGAAGCCTTCAATATTCTGGAGACAGGACGGCCATCTCAGTTGTACGCCGGTTGTCAACTTCGGGTGGCTGTGCAAAGAGACATACTCGATCCCAGTGTTCTCTGATTCTCCCAATCCTACATCCGACAATTTGACCTATCTGGATAAGATACGAGCCGAGAAACATCACACGGAGGAGATGATATCACTTCATAAATGCGTCACCGCGCTCCTCGATCCTGGAGACTCAAGGTTTCGAGGCTCAGAAGAACTGCAAGTTCTTTCTTCCAAACGAAGATCCTCGTTTCCCCAACGCGCGTATTCTACAAACCTTTGCCGTAAAGTTGTGAGCCCATTCTTTCAGGACTAGCGACGTCTGGACGAGTTGTCGCTCTTTCCCCTGGTTCAAGACATTGGCACCGGATCGAACCGTGAGAAGGCAGAAGAACAGGTTGATGGAAACTTCAGAAATTCTTGTTGTATGAATCCGTGTGGCTTTCGGGGCGCAGTTCGCGATCTGAAATATAAAGCAGATGTGTGGACGGGAAGGATGTGGACGACATAGAAAGTGCTATTGATTCTTTAGGAGGTATCGCCACAAGAATGTTATCTCGGGATTGTCTCGATTGATGTGGCTTCTCTTGCAGAATATCTCCTTTCACATCTTAGACATGAGGAAACAGGTTGGGATCTAATGGGAAAGCTTGCGGCTTTTGCCGAAGATAGCGACGCATCCGTCAGTAAGTACACAAATAAATTCTGCGACCAAAGAACCTTCATACTTGAGTATCCATCTCCTTTTTCCCATGTGGTGGAAATCCTAGGACCATGGGAAGCAGTGCTAGGCGCGTCGAAGTCGCTGCTTCGGTTTGAATGCACTGCTTGGCAAGGCAGGGGTACCTTGAAACGTGTGGTGCTCTGGAAGGTCTGCCGATCAAAAGCCAGTGGTTCCCTTCCAGTTCTCTTGGCGTGCACTTTTCCAGCATAGCGCAGAGCACAGGCTTGGCTCTGCTTGTCTGCGCCCAGTCGCGGAGAACTCTCTTCGATGGCCGGTACAATCTATCCTTCCAAACGCATGAAGATGCGCGCAAACATGTCTGCAATAAAGCAGGATCGAAGTTGAGAACTTGAAATACTATTTATGAGGAAGACACGATGTGCGATCACAAAGAACTCCTAAACCGCTCGGTGCTTCGTTGCCGGGGTGTAGCACTTGAATTTGCACGAGCTCGACCGTGCGAATGGAGCTCGGCTCTCTCCTCGGTTTTGGGATACGGGCTCTTGGACAGACATTCGGTCGCGGGCATTGGGAAGCGCTTTCAGGATTCTTCCAGTACTTGGTGTCGTTCTGGGCGTGTGGGAGGGATGCCGGTTTCGGGACAAGCTTCCGACATCTTGGTTGCAAAATCTGGTGGCTCAATTTCCTGCCTATTGACGATCAGCCCATGGAAATAATCAATCCCACAAACAATTCACCTGTCGTCGTCTGCCATTCTCGAAAGAAATCCTCCGAACCGAGTTCGCGAAAGATGGGATGGCGTTCCTTTTACCGTGAGCGGTTACGCGATACCCAAGGTGTTGCGAATCTAGCAAGGAGGGCTTGAAAGAACAATCAGAAATGCAAAATGGAACAATAACTTTCCAGTCCCGTGGGATCAATCTCGCCCATGCCTTTTCCGAGTTCCTTGGCTCGTGTGGCAGCATCTGAAAAGCGACCAAGAGGCTTCGGAAGCTTGGGACCCGGTTTTTGACGTTTGCCGGGTTTTCTGGCTTGGTCGGCGATGCCAGATTCCTCTGCTGCACGCTTGGTTCGGGCTGCCAAAATGTCATCATAAGCCATGATTTTGGCCCTTCCGATCACCGTGGACCTGGTCGATGATCGCGTCTTTTTTTCATTGTTTTGCTCGAACAAGTTCTTGTTCTCCGCCCGGAGGAGCGCACAGTCAGCACGCGACTTTTGAACTGCGTTGTGGAACTTGGCAAATCGTCGTTTGACAGGACTGTCAAGATCACCCATATCCTGTTCCAGCTTCTTGCTCAGCAATGTGATACCCTCAGAAGTGGTGGGGGTGGTCAGCAGGTCATTCGGCGACGGAACTTCTACATTCACGGTCTGCGTCCGAGGATCAGTTGCCTCAGTGAGTGGTGGCTGGATGTCATCGGGCACCTGGGCCGGATTGAACGGGTGGAGGCCCGCCTTGCACCAAGCGGATTTGATATTCCGCGGAGTGAAGGCTTCGTCGCGTGCTCGGCTGTAAAGTAGGGTGAAGTGCTGCTTGCCTACGGTGTTAGCGCCGCCACGATACAGTACAAGTTCTCGACCTGTTCACGATAAGCACTTTTGAGGGAACTAAAGACGGTGAGATCGCACGGTTGGAGCTTGTGCGAGGTGTGTGAGGGGAGTCGGCAAAGAATGATGTTTTCTCGAAACAAAACTTCAGGATTTCTTCGGATTCGTGTGTTTCAAAGCCATCGTTGATGAGCACGCGAGGTCGACCGTTGGCTCGAGTTCTGGTGGAAGGATCGAAGACGTGTTGAATCCAATACAGGCTGATCGCCTTCATTGGTGCGTCCACTATCCGAGCAGGCAAAGTGCCATCCGGGGGTAGGATGGGTGGTCCAATTACTGCGGTGCGTGGACGCTGCCCAGATGATGAGTGGCTC